GCTAGGTAGAGTTCTGACCGAGGGATGCGCATGGTGTCGAGGGTGTCGACGTAGAGGATGTTGAGGCCGCTGCCTCTGTCCATCCGCACCTTGGTGAGGCGCTTCTTGCAGACGATGGGGTCGACGATGAGCGGGTAGCATCCTGGTCTCATGATGTGGGAGGGATGGTCCCTCTGATCGAAGGTGATCGGAGATTCTGACCAGCTGAGGAAGAAGGGGACGGTCATCTCGGCGGCGCATGCCTCCCTATAGCGCACCTTGTGCTGGCGTTTGGTCCAGATGGCGTCAGATCCACCAAAGATCATGATATATTCCTCAGGGTTGGGGAAGCTATCTCCATCCTTGCCCATTGTGCCTCCTTTCTTGGTTGCTGCCTCTTTGCCGTCTCCTTCTTTTGGCCCGCCAGCATATCGGAGGAAACGTTTGAGGAGCTCGCAGTCCTTGTAGAGGTGTTTGACGGGGCAGGCGTGGTTGGTGCACGGGATATCCATGAGTTTGTTGAAGTGGCCAGGCAGGCCCTATTGGGGATGCTTGCCCATGCGGTCGGTTGCGGCAACCAATGCGGTGTTGTCCGGTCGGCGCTAGTCCTTTTTGTTCTTCTTGCCCCTCTGCATGGAGGGGCCCTCGTCTTGCTCCGTGCGTTTGGCCTTGCCTTTGTCCCGGCCTCCGTTGAAGACAGCTCCGACTGCCTCCTCGCCGGAGGCGTGGTTAGTGGCGACGTCGAGCAGGTCGCGGGTGGTACGGGGCTTCAGGCAGCCAAGCTTGTGGATCAAGGACTTGCAGGTTGTCCCAGAGAGGAATGCGCTGATGACGTCCGCGTCGACGACATTAGAGAGGGAGTTGCATCGTTGGGAGAACCTGCGGATGTAATCCCACAGGGACTCGCTGGGCTCCTGCTAGCAGCTCTTGATGTCCCAGGAGTTACCAGGGCAGACGTACATCCCGTGGAATTTTCCGACGAAGACCCTCTTGAGGTCCGCCTAGTCGCGGATGCTGTCATGCGGGAGGAATTCGAGCCATGTCCGAACATGTTCCCCCACGCAAATGGAGAGATATTGAATGATGAACAGGTCATCATCCACCCCTCCGGCTCAGTAGGTGAGCCGAAAATCTTCGAGCCAAATACTGGGGTTTGTCTCCCCGATGTACTTGGCGATGTTGGTGGGTGGTCGGAAGCGTTGTGGGAATGGCGCTCTCCGGATACGTCAGCCAAAGGCCCGTGGTCCCGAGCCCATAGGGCTAGGACTCTGGTCGTCTGGCCGGCGACCATGCCTGGGGTGCGTTTCACCGCTCCCCTCGATGGTTCAGCCGAGATCCGTATCGCCTGCCCTGATCGCCGCCTGGTGGACGTCATCATCATGCCGGGCCTGATGCCGGTTGCTGATGACGCTGTGAGCATCTCGGTGCGGACCGGGCCGTTCGCACACCGGCGGTCGGTGTAGAGCAGGCGCCAGGTCGGACCGCGGCGCAGCCGCTGCCTCCCGAGCTGCCCTTGGTGGCTGTAGCGGTGAGCGGATGGAGCGATCCTTCTGGTGCGTCCCCACTCCCCTAGTGGGGAGAGAGGGCGCGTGTCGGAGCCGCAATGTGGACCTTTCTGCCTGTTGGACGGCGGCGGCTTCTACCAATGCCCGGAGGTTCTGGTAGACCGCACGCTCCTGGGGGTCGAAGCGAGTCGTATCGCCTGAGCCTGCCATGACGAAGGTGGTGGAAAAGTGGGCCATCCGATGACCAAAAAGTGTTGAACGTACAGCGTCTTCCCCATGGACGGTGCCAACTGTCGGTGCAGAAAGTGACCAACAAGTAAATATTTGTAGTTTTGCCGTACGTTGTGATCGGAGGTGGCCTAGCACTCAATGACACATGGTTTATACTAGTTCAGACAACGTGCCCTACGTCTAGTTTGAGTCGGTCGGTGACTTTATTCCTGAACCCAAGTGCTTGAAGTTTGCAGTGGGGTTACAAACGAGAAGGAGAAAGATCGGGGGTACAAGAGGTCCGGTCGGACTCTGGTCGGAAGGGCCGAGAGTGACGGGAGCTCCGCTGTGAGCTAAGTGTTCAAGCGTGTGCTTGTGGATCGAACCCGGCGGTTTTGTGGTTGTGTACTAGTGAACTTAATCGATCTGATGAATCTAAATTTTGGGAGAGAGCGCATCCCCTTTTATAGATAAAGGGAATGGCCTTACAAGTGAGAGGGGAAGAATACGTATGCTTCTAAGCCTTGTTGCCCACGCCGGCGGGTATAGGACGATGGTAGGCGCCCACAATACTGTTGAATGTCAGAGGCACGTGGGAAGTTGTGTTGTCTTCTTCGGGTATGGCAGACGTCGGCGCCTACCACACTGTTGGTTCCTGGAGGCACGCAAGGGGTTTTACCATGTTCGTCCGGTACGGTAAATACCGGCGCCCACAACATTGTTGATGCCCAGAGGCATGAGGGAGGAGCCTTACCGTATGGGAGTTAATGACGCCCACAACACTGTAGGGGAAAATGTCGGCGCCTACAACACTGCTTGGGTTCTGTTGTGCCAGGGAGGTTGCAGAGTACTGTTTCTGCATGTGTACAGGGTACGGTCCCCGGTATTGCGGTTTGACTTGTGCGCCCTGCCTTACTTTCTTGTGGTGGAGCTCCACGTGAGGATCAGGCGCACGCGCATGGGGAGCTCCGGCGGGCTGATGTCCGCGGCGGCCGTGCTGGTGTCCGCCCCGCCGGCGTGCTTGGCCTCGTACAGGAAAAAGCCACGGAACTCTCATGTTTGCTGCGTGAGGGCGAAGATCGGCGCGACCCGGAGGGATACGCGCGATGGGGAGAGCGCGGATCTTTACGCGTGTAGGGTGGTTTTCTCAAATGCCAAAAGATTGGGGGTGTGATTGGGAATTGTTGGAGATGTGTTTTTTCCAATTTTGCTAGAAATCTTGCAAGAGTTTACTGGGTACTCTTGGAGATGCTAGGCGGTCCTTCGAATGTACTCCTAACAAGATACGATATGTATGGGTGCGTTCATAAATAATAGAGATGAACATATGCATATGTATGTGAGTATCTATGTCTATACTGTGATTTTAAAAAAGAATACCATAATTTTGCTTTTTAAATTTATCCAAAAAGCACCAGTAAACATGCATGCGCGATGCGATTAGATGCGAAGCACCAGCAAACATGATCTATCTATGCATGGGCGACGGGGTTAGATTCAAAGCACCAGCAAATTCGAATAGATTCGAAGCACCAGCAAATTAACATGCCCTATGCATGCACGATGTGATTAAGAAACTCACTGAATTACGTACAGCCGGCCAATGTCATCTGTCCGGTTGCTGCTCTGCCGTCGTCGTCGTCCTCTTCGTCACTGAATTGCAGGTGTTCCATATGTATCATGGTGCGCATCTATATGGTACATGCATCATATTCACTGGTCGATGGTACTTTTTTTTGTTCCCATTTGCGAAACGATGGGTCGATATGATAGCTAGTACTAGTAGTAACGTTAAACTTGATAGTAACGTTTGCCTATTTAAAACATAATTAATAAAACCACAAATTGAAAAGAAAACTTTGAAAAAGTATATAGTTTGATCACCAACTGAGATAATTTACGATATTTCCTATGCGGAACCGATTTACTACCGACATAAATACGGTACTGAAAACTAACCATATTTTCATTTGAACTATTTACTAACGACATAAATATGGTACTAAAAGAAATTAAAAATCAAAACTTGAAATACGGTAATGGTCGAAAACGGCCATAAACGATATCATTATTACGGAAACGAACGCCGGTAAATGGAATCTTCCATTCTCACTTTCATCCCTACCGATAATTTAAAGTTAGTAGCTATTGACCTATTGAATTTGTAGCTAGTTTGTTTTGTTAGATTTCTTTTGATTCTCTAGTAATAAATATGATGGCTTAGTTGGTTCCTTTAGTTTCTCGATTTTAGTTAGTGTAGCATAGAATACAATTGTTCATAAGGTCTACTACTTTTTATGAACCCATGTGATACTGGTACTTTGAGGTTGTTATTACCTAGCAACCCATTTGATTTTGTGATAGTTTGGTTGATTCTCTAGTTGTGATGGTCTAATTGGATCACGCTATGTAATCATAGTATAATCTTGATGGCAGTGATATATATCAATGTGATACATTAATAATATCAAATGTAAAAATATTAGACACTAAACTCTATTTAAATGTAATAATAAAAATATATCAACAAACAATGGGATGATGATGGCCAGATTGAAGCTACTAAACTGGCAGTGAGTACAATATATTCACTATCTTATATACTGGCTTCACCTAGCAGATACCCTCGTCAAATCACTGCTAGGTTGAGGCAAGACCCGACAGTGACAGGTAAGCCCCATTATTACTGATTACCCTGTCGGCTCCTATTCGTCGAGTGATGCCGGATTTAGACCCGTTAGTGATCCATGAGTCTGAGGTAGCGACCGGTTTTGGCATCACCGTTGACGAGCTTAGTGGCAATGACCTAAGTGAGCGAGGAATAGATTTCGGCAGTCAGAGATTGTTATAAAACCACAAACGAGCAAATTGCCATTTTTACCATACTTGCAATTGATCTTGATTCCTCGTTAAGCATGCATGGTAAATGAAAATATGTACACGTTGTCTCATTAATTTTGACAGGATATAAACTTTAAGCTTGCATGGTTACATTGTATTTGTATTTTAAAATAAATTCTAATTAAACTTTTGTTACTAGAAATTACATATTATAAGCAAAATTAGTTAAAGTGTGATGTTGAAGACCGGACAGGTCTTAAAGTTTATATTATATAAACAAATTAATATAAACTATGGACAAAAAAGATGCCTAATTTTTTGTGCGATCACCAGGTTTCTTGGCTATATAAACAGCCACCTGGGCAAAGAAGCCCAGCTATATCATCATTCGGTTCAGTAAACTGAACAACCGTTTGATAAAGCAAGCAGCTATCCAGCCAGGGGACTACGCTGCTGTGGACTGTGATGGCTCACGCGCATGGCCACCATGAGCTGCTGCAGCAGCGGACCAAGTCTCCTCCACAAGTGGCCCTAGTGGTCTCTGTCCTGCTCGTGTGTCCTCTCCTCGTCCTCCTCCTGGTGCGCCGCTGCATTGGAACCACGCCGTCGACGGCCACCGCAAGAGCCAGAGAAGAGCTGCTGAGCAAGCTGCCTTCGCCTCCCCGCAGGCTCCCCGTCATCGGCCACCTGCACCTCGTCCGCCGCCTCCCGCACGTCTCCCTCCGTGACCTCTCCGCCAAGCATGGCCGCAACGGCCTCATGCTCCTCCACCTCGGCGCCGTCCCCACGCTCATCGTCTCCTCGCCGAGCGCCGCGCAGGCCGTGCTGCGCACACAGGACCACATCTTCGCATCCCGAGCTACCTCCCCCGTCACCGACATCCTCTTCTACGGCTCCGCGGACGTCGCCTTCTCGCCCTACGGCGAGCACTGGCGCCAGGTCAAGAAGATCGTCACCACGCACCTCCTCACCAACAAGAAGGTCCGGTCCTACTGCTACGCACGCGAGCATGAGGTAATAACCTTGCGTCAATTTCAACAATCACTAATATATTGTTCCATGGACGAAGATGATTGCCTGAAAATAATTCACAACAACAGGTGAGGCTGGTGGTTGCTAAGATTCGCGAGGCAGCCACTGCAGGCACTGCTATCGACCTAAGCGGACTGTTCAAATCCTTCGCCAACGATGTCATGTGTCAAGCCGTATCTGGCAAGTTCTTCAGGGAGAAAGGCCATAATAAACTTTTCCAGGAGCTCGTGGAGGCGAACTCGTCCCTCCTAGGGGGGTTCAACCTAGAGGACTACTTCCCGGTGCTGGCGAAGCTGGACATCATCAAGAGGATGGTATGTGCAAAGGCTCATAAGGTAAACAAGATGTGGGATGACTTGCTCAATACGCTCATCGATAACCATGCAAGCAAGCCAGCGTCAGAACGTTTCGGGGAGGAAAGTGACTTCATCGATGTCTTGTTGTCTCTTCAACAAGAGTACAACCTCACGAGAGATCATATCAAGGCACAGCTGGTGGTAAATATGGATGTGGCCTCACCCACAACTACTATATAATTATATATATATATGGTGATTCTTATATATGTGTATCCATATGTATGTAGATCATGTTTCAAGCTGGCATAGATACGGCATACATAGTGCTGGAATATGCGATGGCTCAGCTAATGCAAAAACCCTGCCTCATGAACAAGCTACAAACCGAGGTGAGAAGCACTATAACAAAGGGAAAAGAGATGGTTACCGAAGACGAGCTTAACAGTTTAGCCTACCTAAAGGCAGTCATCAAAGAGACACTCCGACTCCATATGCCAGCACCGCTCCTTGTGCCCCACCTCTCCTTGGCTGACTGCAACATAGAAGGATATACGATACCATCAGGAACACGTGCCATTATCAATAGCTGGGCTCTTGCAAGGGATCCTAGCTATTGGGAGAAAGCAGAGGAGTTCATGCCTGAGCGGTTCATGGAAGGCGCTAGCGCCAAAGCTATGGACAATAAGGGAAACGATTTCCAATACTTACCATTTGGAGCAGGGCGAAGGATATGCCCTGGTATAAACTTTGCAAGTTCCACTATCGAAGTCATGCTCACAAACCTTGTCTACCACTTCAATTGGGAGCTACCTGTGGAATTAATGAAGAAAGGCATAGATATGACTGAATCATTTGGGCTAACAGTGCATCGTACGAAGAAACTCCTCCTTGTCCCTATAGTTCCACAAGATTAATGCATTAGTCTATAGAGCCCTTTATGTACGCAATAGATCAAGGACTTGACTATGCAGTACCTATGGTAATTGCATCATACTTGTGGGTTTGGACTTGTTGTTAAGCACGTATACTAAATAATAAAAACATGCATTGCACATTACTAAAGGAAGCATTTCCGGATACTGGCATTTTCTATTAATAGAGGTGAACAGTGCGTCCGCCTCAGGTAATTGGTCAAGGTTAATCGGCCACTTCCAGAGGCGGTCCACCTCTGTAAATTGATTAACAGATGTCCCGCCTCTGTTAATGTCATTTAACACCTACTACTTAGCCAAAACACATCGCTAGCACTACACCACACACTCATTTATGACTATATATATAGGATGCTATATTTTTTATATTAACAGTTTGTAATCTTATATTAAATATTTTGGCGACTAAATAAACTTAAATGAAAAAAGATTCAAGTAGAAAGTTTGAAATCTTTCCAAGCATTACAACTTGGTACAGGATTTGTCTCCATTAGAGATTGTTTGAAAAAATAAAAATTTTGACTCTCAAAATATGTAACTTAAAATAAATACTTGAGACACTAAAAAACTTTAAATCAAAACGCTATGAACATCAACAGCCTGTTCGTTTCGGCTGAATTGACTTATAAGCCATGGCTGAAAGTACTGCTGGCTGGTTTGGTGTGAGAGAAAAACATTGTTCAAGCCGTGGATTATAAGCCAGATACGAGCAAATAAGCCGAAACGAACAGGCTGCAAACATGTAGATCAAGTTAGCCACTACAACGCTGGTACTCCATTCTAAAGTGTAAGATGTTTTGCCTTTTCTAGATACATAGCTTTTCCAATGCACTTAGATATGCACTATGATGGATACAAAGTAAAAAGCAATGTATCTAAAAACAAAAACATCTTATAAGTTGAAATAGATGGAGTATTAATTGTGTGAACATTCAAGATCGTTTAGAAATTCTAAATTTTGAACTTTAAAATCTATGAATTTAAAAGACATATTTGGGACTCTAAACGACTTTAAATAAAAAAAATTGTCTACAAAGTTGTAGATTATATTGAAAACTCGAACTTTGGTCTAGACCATATCAACATATGAGGTTGTTTAAAAATTTTAAATTTTAAAATTTATGAACTTAAAATAATACTTTGGGACTCCAAACAGTTCCAATCAAAAACTTCTCAACTACAAAATTGTAGATCGTGTCAAGGGTTACAATTTTGTTACAAAACTTGGCTTCATCCGAGTTCAAATGAAAAAGTTATGAATTATTTTTGGATAAAACTATTTTAGAGACGCACATCTTAAGACGTTTACCTCAGAAAATTGACGCTGGTAATAGAGATTTTTAGAGATAGACACCTTAAGATGGCCGTCTCTGAAAATTGATTTGCAGAGACAAGCATTTGGCGACCACCTTTGTTAATTGATGATTAACAGAGGCGGTCACTTGAGGATGTCCGCCTCTATAAATGATTTTCAGATATAGGAATTAGCCTGGAGACCACATGGCCATTTACAGAGGCGGTCTCTAAATGTGCCCGTCTCTATTAATCAGAGAGGTGGTCTTCAAAAATTGTTTTTGTGGTAGTGGCAACCTTACACCATGCATCAAATTGTTCATCGTATAAGCACTCAGGGGTGGGCTGCCCAGCGGGTAGACCATATTGGCCGAGGACTATTCTGAAACGTACTTGTCCCAAATTCATAGTGCACTCTTGGTTGGTTATGGCGTACGAGTTTTACCATATTTCATAGTGCATGAGCTCGACGGTGTGGGAGCTAAAGAATGCATGCTCAGTGGTGGTGGTGGACGAACACTCGAAGAAGGGGGTGACTTCATTCCCATTATTGTCGTCTTGGGCGTGAAGGAGTTGTTGAAACTGCTCCTACTCCATTGTTGGCATTCCTATAATTCTTTTTTTTTGCAAGTACACCAAGCTGAAACAAACGATTGATAGTAGTAAATCTTTATAATCAATGATGTCCTAAATTCGTGCCTAAATCCGCCATAGAAGCAAAAAAAAAACTTGATTCTCTGTATCTTCTACTACCCCACTGCGTATCAGCCCTTTTGGTGTTCTACATAATATTCCTGGACAGGCAAATTTCGCTGGTCTAATCACTGCAATTTCTTACATAAATCGTTTGTAGGAAGGTGGAATAAAATGATCACAGATTGTCTCTTTTATTCTTTCCCATGACTTAGGTTGTAGATGCAAATTACCTAGCTCTTGCCACCAGATTATTGTGAAATATTTAAACTCACTGGCAGCTTATCTAACTTTATGATGGTTAGAAACTTGGTGGCAAGCAATTTTTTGTTCTACAGTCATCTTCCAATTAAGATATTCCTCAGCATTGTATTTACCACGGAAAGGTGGGACGGTGAATTTAATTTTAGAGTATGGATACCACGAGCGTTAGTATTATTGCATTGATTGTTATGGTTATTACCTATCAACATATGTACGATTGTGTTGAAGATGTCGATGCAGGGTCTACTCGCCACTACGACAAAAATGATTTTAGGAGACAGGCTCCTTGATTAACGGAAGAGGGCATATTTAGGGGCCGCCTTCGTAAATGGCCGGGCGGCCTCCACAAAAACGTCCACGTCCAAAAAATCATTTACAGATGCGACCATCCTAAAGCGACTGCCTCTAAAAATCATCGATTAACAGAGACGGACGTCTTGGACGTGACGTCCGTCTCTGTAAATCGATTTTTAGTGATAGGTCTCTGGAAATCACTATTTCGTTGTATCCAAATTTATTTCATAACTTTTCCATATAAGCTCGAATGAAGACAAATTTTATATCAAAATTGTACCTCTCTACTCGATCTACTACTTTGTAGTTGACAAATTTTTATTTAAAACTGTTTAAGTTCATGGATTTTTGAAATTAAAAATTTTCAAACAACCTCAAATATTGAGTGGTCTATACCAAAGTTGTAGTTCTCAATGCAATCTACAACTTTGTAGTTTAAAATATTTTGATTTGGGATCATTTAGTCCTAAATATACTTTCTAAGTTCATAAATTTTAAAATTTTTAAGCGACCTTGAACGTTCACATAGTTAATACCAAAGTTGTAGTGGCTAACCTGATTTACCTATTTGCTTTGGATAAGTTTTTTATTTGAACTTGTTTAGTGTCTCCAATATTTATTTTAAATTCACATATTTTGAGATTCAATTTTTTGAATTTTTTAAACAATCTCAGATGCAGACACATCTTATATTGTAGTGTTTCACAAGATTTAAAACTTTTTAGTTGAAACTTTTTCTTTTGAGTTCATTTAGTAGTCAAAATATTCAATACAAGATTATGAGTATTTGTAGAAAAGATATAATCTCACAAGTGATTGAGTAGTGTACTAGTAAGGAGGTGTTAGTGTTGAGTGATAGGTCGCGGGTTTGACCCTTGAAAAAAGAACATAATTTTTTTTGGTTTTTTCAGGGTGTTCGGCTGGTAGGGAGCACCGTGTACCGGATGGTTTCGGATGATTCAATAGTGTTTTGTGAGAGAGAATAAGCTGAAACAAGCTGAAATAAGCTAAGACAAGAACAGCCGAACAGGCCCAAAAACCATTAACGAAGGTAGACACTTTAAGACACACGCCTCCATTAATAGATTTTTGGAGGCGGGCATTCTGATCGACTCTATAGATAGCAATTAACGGTGACCTTCTCGCCTCTGGAAAAAAAAATCTCTGAAAATGTTGTGTACTAGTGCACGTGTTGCCCTTTCATCAACCTCGTCGTCGTCTCTATACACGATGACTTATGAAGGAATCGTCATCTGGGATCTCGTCGTCCTCCTTGTCTTTGTTATATATAACCCTTGTTCTTATCTTTGTTCGGTGGACGGTTGGCCTCTAACTGGTCAATCCTATCGGTCAATATTGATATACGCCTATCCACACTCTCAACCGAATGGTTCACACTTGCCAAGGCCTCTTTCAGCATGTTGACTCGTTGGTTTTAGTCAGGGTTTATCAATCAACTAATAATATTTTTCTCTTATAATAAACCAGCACCAGTGGAACTTATCAGTTTAGAAACCAACCAGCAAACATGCTCTTTGACCATCTTAGCCATGGCCTCAAATAAGGGTACTGCAGGTGTAAATGCTATATTTTCACTAGCCGGTGACTTAATGATTTTGCTATATAGGTATATCTACATTGGCGGTTCATAGTCATGGGCCCACGGATATGTTTGTACTAGCGTCTACTCTTTATGGACCCCACGTATATGTTTGTATTAGCGTCTACTCTTTGTGAATCGCCTGTGAAAAAAACTCAGGTGTCAGCAAAAACCATTTCCGTACTAGTGTTAGTCAATCTCGAGATCTACTAATTCGGCCCTTTGAATATGCCCGTAGGTGTAAAGTGTGTTTATGTGCGTTCACAGAGGATAAGAATGAGTGTGGTCGTTTACAGTGTGATTAATTAGAAAGAGAGAGAAAAAAAGACCACCACTTTTTTTTTATCCGAAGCACCAGCGTGCAAGCGCGATGCGATTAGATTCTAAGCGCCAGCAGCTAGCAAACAGCATGCCCCGATGTGGTTGATGAGTAAGGCCCCGTTCGCTTCATAAAAAAAAAAAAAAAAATACTGTTTCCGCTGATTTGTTGTAAGAGAAAAATACTGTTCTGTCTGAAAAAACAAACTGAAAAAAATAGATTATAAGAGAAGCGAACAAGACCTAACTCACTGAATTACAGCCGTCATTTCAATTTGTGCAAAGACGCACGTTCTATACAACAATATGAACTTACACTCTCTTCGTACCAAAATATCTATCACTTTCGCTTTTCAAGAAACAATTTTGATAAAATATATATTAAAAGTACTAATATTTATGGTACATAATTAGTATCATTGGAAAGATATTTAAATCTAGTTTTTTAATAAATTTATTTGGAGATATAAATATTGCACACATTTTCTATAAATCGAGTCAAACTTGCGGTGCGGAAACC